GCATCTGTGGATCGAAGCCCAGAAGGAAGTGCGTCATGTTCACCGGAGGAGAGTTCAAATTCTCCAGAAGCAACGTGAGAATGGCCTTCTTGATCTTGACGCTGAAGCAACCGCGCTTGATGACGGGATCCAGGTCTTTCGGAATCTCCTGATCGGCTGTGAGAAAGTGGAAGTGGCAGAGGTCAGCTGATGGACCAAGACAACACCATGGTAAGCGGAGAAGCCTTACCTTCCTGTTCGCTCACTTCTTCCTGGCTCTCTAGGCGTTCGACGTAGCCATCCATGATGTCCTGGGCGATCAGATCAAAGGAAGGGACCAGCTTGCCGCTCCTCTTGCTCAGCATTCGAATGATGTTCACCGAGAAGTAGGGCAACTAGAAGAAATACAGTGAGTGGCGGGTAAGCAAAGTTTCACGACCGCAAGAGCAGCGTACCTTGAGGTTGCGGTCGTAGCTTACACAGCGGGCGATGCTCACCGCATAGTCGTTGACCAGGGCTTCCGTGAGAGGAGTCAGCTGTACCCTCTGGTGGGGAGGGAGCAGGGTCGTAGCCGCGCGGTAGGCCTGAACGAATTGCTCTTCCACCACGAGCATCCGGTTGAGCAGCTGCAATTCGTACAACCATGCAATGTTAGATACCATAACAGAAGAAGCAGAGGAAGAGCTTAGCGGGACATACCTTGAGGCTAAGAATCATGGCACGCTCGATGTAATCAAATTCCTCGCTGCTCTCCGCATCGGACAACAACTTGCCAGCCGCCGTTTGGATAATCGAGAGCACCTACGCAAGAATAAGAACGTTAGCAGAGGGCTCAATAGAACCGACCATGCACCGCGGAGTACCTTGCGAAGCGGTTCGACTCTTCCACCGAGGAAGCTTTGCAGCAGGAGGAAACCAGAAGGCAGCTGAAGCGCCTTGGGTGAGGCAGCGTTGTCCTCCATGATTTGGAGCTCATCCGGTTCGTATGTGTTCGCCAACTGGAGAGAGACATTTGTCAGTAATCAGACTCTCCAGAGGGAGACAGCTACAAGCTGAAAGGATGAGAGCGCACCTCGTGGAAGATCTTGAGAGCGGCGTTGGCAACCTTCCACTTCTCATTTGGCCGCATGTAGCCCTGCAAACGTCGAACAAAGCATAAAAAGTTGGCCCAAAGTGCTGCGTCGACAGCGCAGGGGGATTGCGGGTACCCTGGAGTCAAAGCGGAGGAAGACGTTCTCGAGGATGAAAGCAAGGTAGGGACCGAATCCCCGGCCTCCACTGTGCCTCGGGGCGAGAGCAACCAACGGACAGTTCCTTATGACCTATGCGCCGAGAGAGAGAGGTCGGCTACTATTCGTACAGACTACAGGGAGAAGGCCAACGTACCATTTGTAGCATCTTCATGAAGGCGATGATCTCGGGGTACTCTTGGACGCTGGACTCAGCTCCCTCCAGCTCATTTCGGATGTCTTCTCCCTGCGCGTCGCCTGCAGTGCTCAGGATTCTTCTGGCCTCCAGATGGCGCCACACCTGTGATGTTCATCAAGTTAGTTGCGGGATGGACTCGTCCTGGAGGAGGGAAACGCGCACCATCTCAGCACCATTCGGTGAAGCCGCGAACGCAGCGAGCGTGCTGTAGATCTTGGCCTTGAGAGTGTGCGGAATGGGGCAAATCACAAGATTGAAGAGATTCTCGATGACGTTCCACTGCGCGTGCTCCACCATGCTCATGCGGGCTGTTTCGCTGCAAATAGCCACCTGGAAAACAATACCTTGAGCATATACGCCATTCCTCCTTTCAATACACACAATCTGCACTTTGCAGGCGTGTACCTGTTTTGTCAGGTTGAGGATGGCGACGAGGCCGTTTTCATCATCAACGCTCAACATCTTGACCGTCGCTCCGCGGATGTTCTGCATCGAGCGCTACAGAAACAGAAGCACCACTTGGCTTAATGACAATGTTGTCGTAACGACTAAGAGATTCTCACGTACATGATAGTCTTCGGCATAATTACCCAGGACCCTGAAGAAATGGTCCCAGCTAACGATTTGAGGTGCAGCTGCAGCGAGGTTGGTGAACGTCTGGAAGAGAAATAGGATCTAAGATTACTAACATTTATGGAACAAGCGAGAAGGAGTCAATACCTGCGTGGCAGGTCTGGCGCCAGAGGACAGGGCGGCAAGCATGTTGATGTAGTGGACAAAGTACTGGGGATTCATCGCGTCGGCAGCGAAACGAACGAAATGAGCAAGAGACCTACGCAACGGATAACCGAACACAATGGACTTGGTGTGAGTTAAGAGGCAATCACTGCTGGCCGAAAGACTAGCGCACCGCGTGTCGTAGGAGCAATCCCAGAACTTCAGGCAGAGGGCCTCTCTTCCCTGTGAGCAAGAGTTAAGCCATGAGTAGGCGGCCTTCACAAGGCTATGCCAAATGAACAAATCCACGTTGATCAAATGAGCACCTTGTAGAGCGCTGCGCAAAAGCGCATCAGATCCTCAAAGTCGGGCCGAATGGATCCTGGTACGCAGAGTCAGAAGATGCATCGGCCAACATGGAGTCAGACGCATGTCTGGCCAACGACCAGCAACGTACCTGCTTGTCTGTTGAGCAGTCGGTTGCGAAGCAGAATTTCCTCCTTTTCGCGCATGGTCTCGATCTGCAAACGATGAGGATGCGATTCGTCACTGAGGTTGTGGTTGTAACTGAGTCCAAAGGAACGAGAATACGAACCCTTTCTAGCAAATTGGAGAGGACGCTCACAAGCATGGTATGAATGACCTGGACCATGTAGGTTTCCTCCATATCACTCTTAAAGTGCCTGTGCTGCAGGATGCCTACAAAGAAGTTGAAGCTCCCCTGATGACCAGCAAAAATGAGTACCAGTGAACATCAAATGATTAGTTGCGTTGCAGCTCACCTGACGTTTGGCCTTTCGCCATGCCTCGCTCACCCTTCGTTTGTTGGCCACATCGGACTCGCCGTGTTTCTGTACAAAATGGTGTGTGAGCCCCCACTTGCAAGAGGATACGAAACTGAGGTCGGCTTACCCGTATGAAAACGGTCAGGAACCATGCCCAGGCGAGCGCGACGGCAGCCTGCGCGCCGGCTGCACAAAAAAACACGACCAGACCGTAGTCAGCAACCATGCATGTTGCGGGAGGACGTGAGTGAGGTTCCACACCGTTAGCCCAAGGCTGAGCGATCTCCTGGTTGATTTCATCGATGCCTCGAGGGCTCTTCTCGAGGGCCGACAGTCTCGCTCCGCCCGGGCTCACGTGGAGATCAGTTTCATCTCCAGCAAGGCGATCCAGATTCAGACAGTTGATGATGATGACCAAAACCTTGTACATCATCTGCAAAGGCGAAATAGCATGAGTGGAAACGAAAGCAATAACAGAAGGAGAAGGGCAACGAACGGAGAAGATGTCAAGATCGGTCGTTGCACGCTTGAAGGCTTCGCTGATCTTCTTGAAGAGCTGCAGCAATTCCAGAAGCTGCTTTGGTGTGGCCTCCGTCTGAAGGTAAAGAGTAAAGAAAACATAACAACAACATAAGCAACCACGCGCTTTACAGTATATTGTTGCAGTGGTGCGCAGTACGCTTACCTGGTAGAAAATGGCCAACAGAATGCTGACCATGAGCGTGCACTCCTTCGTTTTGTTCTGCCTGATTAGGACAGCTCTCTCGTGAGGGATGTCTCTGGGCGTGTCATCCCCCTGCAAGTGGGGCAGGTTCTTCTGCACGTGGAGAAAGTAGTAGGTCAGCAATGCATGACACACTTGCTATCGTAGTGGAATGTGTGAAGAGAAAGGGACCTGTATAAGAGCGATGAGGTTGGACGGGAGTCCTTTCTCAAGAAGCTCTTCAGTGATCGCGACGATTTCCGAATGCACCTCAGCGTCGAAGCGACTCAAGCGCCCCTGAGCACGATAGAGGTGAGATCAACGCGTGGCACAAGAGGAGGGAAGTGAAGGAGTACCTTGAAGAGCAGTAGCAAGTCTTGGAGCGCATACTCCCTCAAGCCAAAGTAGATGCTAATGGCAGTGGTGAGCAGTTCGTCAGGCGGCACCGCTTGGCCCGGATACTGAAGAGAGTACAGAGAGCTTGTAAGGGAACTGCAGCGAGAATGGGACAGCGAAAAGGGAGGCAACCTGCGCGTAGGTCGAGCGAAGGAGACCGAAGCACTCATACTCGTTGATATTCAATTCATCGCTGAGCTTGAGGATCTGTACAGGCGAAATTAACGTTGGCGAGGAGCAGCAGAGCGAGCATGCAAAGAATGGAAGATCGGAACGCACCACTTCAGTATCGGACTTATTGAGGGTCAGCCGTTCCCCCTCGATGACGACCTCGTTATTTGTAGTGAGGTTATGTCGGTGTGCGGCGTTCTTGCCCTGCACCACAAATCAAATTAAAATTGAACAAAGTAAATTACATGGATTGCCCGCGGCAACTCTTACTTACCCCTCCATAGCCCGTGGATGGATCTAGCAGCTCCTCCTTCGTGCTGAGCAAAGCGTTGTGCAGCTCTCGCACCTCGCTGCGCGTGACCCTTCGATTGGCTTCCACGCGGGTAAGCACGCTGAAGATCAACTCTAAAGGTGGCGTGCGTTTCTCCATGAACGATGCACACGCTCAATAGCCGTCCAAAAGCGCGGAATCGGAGCCGGGGCTGAATGGGAAAGATTAATGGCACAGAGACTCAAAAATGGCGCCAAAGGAAGCGGGAAAAAATAAGGAAAAGATCTTTCTTCAACTGCATCTCGTGCGGGCCATGTGAGGTGCGGCAGGTTTGTTGATGGACTATTACCATTACATTATGTCAAATCAGTGGCCACCATTCCGTTCTGATATCCACAATCGACGTTCCTCGTCGGCACCTTGTCTCACCATGGCCCACACTTCCTCGCGATCCTCCTCCCCTGACCCTCCCCAGCCCTCTTTGCCTCCATCTTCTTCCCCATCTGGATCTTTCCGCTCTATCAAGCCTCTGCCGCCACTCGGTGAGACTATGCGGATCGTTCCCTTTGTGAGCCTGTGCGCGATGGTTGGGGTGCTTACGCGCATCGGCCTGGACGAGCTGTTCGGACCTAACGTGCTGGGCGTCACCTCGACCGAGAGCGTCACCTTCCCCGACTGGTTCCCCAACGCGTGGGGTAGCTTCGTCATGGGCTTCTTCGTGCCCATGCGCCAGTCGCCATTCTTTGCCAGGTGCGTTCTTCTTTCTTGCAAGAACGAAGCGAAGGAATGCGGAGATGGCTGTTTGTTGTGCTCACTACACCTCTTTACGTATGGTTGGCCAGGCGCTCATGGCTGTACGTGGGACTGACCACCGGCTACTGTGGATGCACCACGACATTCTCCTCGTGGAACCAAGATGCCGCAGCGTTCGTCGTTAGTTCGGCAGATGTGCGTCTCTCCACCCTGTCCTTCTGTATGGGTCAAGCTGATTACTTAACGATCACCCACACGCATGTGCAGGTTGTAACCTACCTCCTCATTCTTTTTGAAGGCATCACTGCCCCCTTGGTCGGCTTCATCATGGGTACCTACACTTCTCTAGAACGTGAAACCCTTCTCGCCCTTATCTTGTTGCGGCGTACAGGCAGACATGCGAACGAGTTCTTGATGCTCGTGATAGCGAAAGCGAAGACATGGACCAAGCGACGACGAAAAGAGGGCACCTCCCGAGCACTCGAAGCTGGAGGAGGTGGCGGTCCATCCAGTACGCGAAAAGGTAACCCAGCGGTGGTTGCTGGCGAGGTGGAGGTGCACGACGTTGCGGAAGCGAGCGGTGAAGAGTCAACAAAGGGCAAGGAGCGGATGGACGACGAAGAGGGTACCCAGCCACCGGAGAACCCGCCTGCTGGCGATGAGGAACACATGCGGCAACAGCAGGAAAAGCGACCAGCGGCCACCCACTGGAAGGTCACCCGTGCCGACTTGCTGTACTGCCTCCTGCTCTCATCCAGCGTAGCGCTTCTCTGCTTGCTGTGGCTCCTTCTGGAAGAGTACGGCGGTGTAACCAAGCGCTACATCTGGATAGCCTGCCTCTTTGCCCCCTGTGGTACGCCTGCACCCCTCTCCGACGCGATCACAATGGCCCCAAGCTCTAGAAGCAGTACTGACGTATGCGAGGCCTGCTCAGGAGCCATGCTTCGCTACGTGCTGTCGCGCTACAACGCCTGGCGGCGGTGCGTTCGCTTCCCGTTCTTCACCTTCCTCGTCAATATCGTGGGCTCCATCGCCCTCGCCCTGGTCGTCATCAGCGTCGATCTCCGTGGCTACGATATCGATCACGAGCTTCCTGGCTACACTCTTCACGGGTTTCAGGTCGGCTTCTTGGGTACGCGCGCGGCCTGCCATCACACACGTTATAACTCCCGCTCACACACATTCTTGTACCCCGCAGGCTCGTTGACGACCGTATCCACGTTCATTGGCGAGCTGTATGCCCTCCCATCAGTGCCCTATGCCTACATCTACGCCGTCGCATCTCTGGGCACAGCGCAGGCCGCCCTCACCTCATCAACGGCCTTCACCAGTGGACAGCATGACCGGTGTGGTGTCGGCAATAAAACAAAAGATCTCGATTTGCCTAACCCGCAAATTTCTCAAAGCTCATCTTCATCAGCGAATAGAAGAGATGCCGAGAGTTCATATCAAAGAAAAAAAGCGAAAGAGAGGTACGACTGCTGCAGCGGCACCCAAGGATTTTACGGTACGTGATCGAGCTGGATTATCCGGAGCTGATTTAATCTTTTCAATTTCATCTTTGCTGCTTAGCGATTGCATCGTGCCTGCCCCTAACACGAGCGATGGTTCATCCGATTCCAATTGCAGAAAAAGAAAGCCAAGCTGGGCAAGAAGGCGAAGCCCTCGGGGAACCAGACCGTCACTGACTTTCGAGCTCGGTCGATCGTTCTTCCGGAGCAGAGCCTTCTCCAGGACAAGGTACCTCGTTGCCTCCCTCTACTTGTGCCCTCGTGCGGTCGTACTCTAACCTTGCTGCACCACAGGGCACGGTGGTGAACAAGCGCAACCTCTCCCTGCAAGACCTCTTGTCCCAATGCGCTCACTACAACGCCAACGTCCGCAAAGGTAAACCTTACCGAACGAACGCGAATGCGTTCTTCCATATGCCCCACGTCTTGCATGTCTGATCGTCTGTTGTTCAATTGTGGCCACACAGAGGCCGTGCTCGGCATGAAGGACCTCTTTTCTCTACACCCGCAAAGCCTGGGGTCATCATTGGCTCGGCTATTTGACAAGGTGTTCGACCTGATCAGCGACGAGGACCTCTACGTGCGGCAGGCTATTCGCACCCTCTTTGAGTTCCTTTTGCCTCTCATTCCAGCGGTACGACTCTTCTCTTGATAGCTACTCTCTGAGAGAGCTGAAAGACACTGATTCGATACTCTCTCCAGCGCTTGATGCAGCCATACATGAAGTTGTTCGTCATTTACCTCACCAACGGGTACCGCTCTCTACTTTGCGCTACTATTCAGTGGTTCGGGCTGACGTTTGCCACCGTAAAACTGACACACCTTCTTTTACCTCCTTGCAGCATGACCAACATCAACCTTGACGTACGTCTGTCAGCGCTTGAGCTAATTAAGCTGGTCATTGTCCACTTGCCCGAGTTTCTGCCTACCTTCTACATCGAGGTATGTACTTGGCCAGTGCACGATCAGCCGTTTGACTGTCCCGACCCTCCCTAATAATGCTGGCCTTCTTCTTCGTGCAGCTGTTGCCCAACTTTCTGGATCTTCTTGCCTCGGTGGGCTTCGGCACACGAAGCAGCACACTGCCCAGGGACACCTCCAAGAAGACCGGCTTTCAGAAGCACTTGCCCATATTGAAGAGGTACACGAGAGCCCTCTCATCTGGCGCTCAAGTCAGGGCACAATACTCACTCACCATGGTATATGGGCAGCCTTTACCATCTGCTCAAGTCAGTCCACGCGTACAAGACTGCGCAGGCGTCGGAACAGCAGTCCTCCACCTCCACCTCGGCCAGTTCCACGTCCGCCTTCTCTTGGGATTGGACCGAGTACAAGAGGCGATGGCCACAGGCTGTACCCATCTCCGCCTTGGTCTTCCTTTTTCTGTGGACCTCGTTTCTAATAAGTACTTTCTCTATGCAGCACGCTCGCTTCTTTATGACGAAGGGCGCCACTGGGAGCAACGTTGAGTCCATGATCGACCAGAATTCGCCTGTCTTGATCTCAGGTTTGCCCTCCGTGGTTGCGAGGTTGTGGATATGAAATTACGGTGTGGAGTGGTGGGAACTGATCATGACGCGGCGTGCAGAGAGTGCGGTGTTGACAGACTTTTCTAAGAAGATCATCCCTTCCCTGCTCAAGCGGTGGCTCGAGTGCTCGCCTTCTGATCCCTTCACCTCTACGGCCAACCTGGAATGGTACACTATGCACGACGCGACGCGACGCGACACGACACGACACGCACACGACACGCACACGACACGATCACAGTCCTAACGCAATGTGTCACATACACCAGCATGGCTCTTGTGCTCGACATCATCCACATGCTCTTCATACTCAACGACAAGGCCAACAAACGTAAGGAGGGCGAGCACGCGGCAGCGAGTCAGACCTCCGTCGTCTTCGGCAGCTTCCTGGCTGATTTCAAGAAATACCTCATGCCCCACTTCCCCATCAGCGAACCCATCAGCAAGTCGGTCGAGGTGATTGCCCTTTCCTTTGCTCCAATGCCTCCAACCATATCCAACACTAACGCTCTTGGCGATTGCAGGACAAGAAATCGAAGGAGGGCGCAAACATGCGATTGACGGTCAGTCGCCTCAACTGCACGCTCTGTGCGGTCATGGCCCACTTCGTCGAGCCCAAAGCTATCGAGGAAATAGAGATGGAGCTGGAGGCCGAGAAGAGGTGACGGTTACCCACTTTGCGCTGCCTGTTCTCAGCTTTTGGAGCACTCGCTGACTTGCAGTCTTACGCGACGCTGCAGTCGGCCGGCTCCACCGACTGCTGCGCCGCTGCCGGCCTTCTTGCAGAAGAGGGACGACAAGGCGCGGGACCCGGACGACGACGTGATGAAGACTCTCCATGAATCGAACCGGCCAGACAAGTGGATGACCGCGCTCTATCGGCACATTGTCAAGAAGCTGAAGGACAAGGAGACCGCCGGCAACAAGGTGGGACAGCTTTTCGCCTCTCGGCTTGATGGGTGGTGTCAGTGCACTGAAGCTTCTGACAATTCTTCTTATTCTTCTTATTCTTCTTAATCTCTAGGGCATGGTGCAAGAGGTGTCGCTGCTCCTTCCAGTTGTACAGAAGCTCCTGCCGGCGCTGTCTCCTCCTTTGCAGACGCAACTCATGGAGGTACGGAACATTCTCGGTTTTACGATTATGGCTGTGCGTGCGCACCTCTCAACACATGCTTGCGATGGTTGGACAGGCGTTCCATTCGTTCTACCTGGCTTGCCACATCATGTCGCAAGCAAAGCGCAAGTGCATCAAGTGGATCGTGGTGCTGCTCACCACGCCCGCGCATACCCGTGGCGGGTGGTCGCCCGACTCGACCATGACCCAGCAGTGGATTCTCTCCTTCCCGCAGATCCTGTGGAAGCTCCAGGACAAGAACACCACCACGACTCAGGTATTTACTACCCTGTGCACGTCAACTTGACCGCCAACAGAATGCTGACGCCACACCCCGACAGCTTATTCTCACCACTCTGGTGGAGTTGATCAACCGAAAGCGCCATGACTCGGAGGCCCTGCACACGGTACTGTCTCCTCAGATCTGGTATTGGTACCTATGATCGCCGGCTAACCATGGTTCGCTTTCAGAGCTTGCAATCCCTCAAGGACCACCTGGTCCCCTTCTTCTTCACCCAGGTCCCGGCCACGAAAACGCGCAAGGGTATGCCTCTCCTCGCTTTTCCCTCCCACGCAGCAAGCGAGTCGCGCCGATTCGGCTCCTTGACACCGACCTTACGCGCATTTATACCACCGTTGCGGCGTGCTCGTAGCATCCAACATCTACGGTCCCTTCGTGCTGCTGCCGGAGGAGCTCCAGAGGCTGGCCCTGCAGCTCGTCTACTACTTCGATTCCCTGCCGGCCAAGCTCCTCAAAGCCCTCACCGCTTGCTGTACCGCCCCTCATACCGTTTATTACTCTTACTTATTTCTCATTGCTATGTTCTGTGACTCACTCACTTCTCTTCGTGTCGTGCTCACCAGCGCGTAATCTCAACATGTCGGTGCTCCGCTACATGACCGAGATTCTCTACCATTCCTACGTCAAGGTACAAGCTAGGCCTTTCGTTCGTTTCCTATATGCGCAGCAGTGCTCATTGCTCTTTGTCGCGATGACCCCAGGGCGCCTTGTCTCAATTCGAACTGGCCTCTACCGTGCTCTCGCTGTTGGTGGCCAACTCGGCCAACCGCAAGTACCAGGAGCGGGCCGACGAGGATGAGGATGACGACGGAGAGGAAGTCGAGGAACTGGCGCCGCAGGTGCGCAAGAGGACGCGAACCAGTAGTGAGGCCACGACGTCGACATCAACGTCGACCTCGACACAGAAGCAAACGCGATCTCGAGCAGTGAAGGACACTCAGAAGGGGAAGGAGAAAGAGAATGAAATGGAGGTGGTGGTTATGGATGCTGACGACGACGAGGGCGAGCCAGTGGTGGAAGATCGAGTCGCCGCCGCTGGTGGCGAGAAAGCCGCGGCCAAGGCGGAACGAGCGCGTGCGGAGAGACGCGAGGTGGCCGAGATCATCGTGGCTAACGTGCGTCTGTGGGGCGTTACGGAAGCGCTCGAGTCCATGCAGGCCATGCTCACCCTCCTTCTGGTACCTTCACTCCCCTCCGCTCAACCACTCCGCACACGCCTGACCCGTTCCCCCCGCCGCCGGTGTCGATACGCTGCAACAGACCACGGAGGCGACGGACGTGGAGACGAAGGAGGCGCTGCTGCTCTTCCTCTGCCTCTGCGCTCGGACCCGTCGGGCGTCCCACGACGGTGGCACTGAAGCGGCCCCGACTGGGCTGCCTCAGGGCCTGGCCGCGGTGATGCCGCAGGCCATCTTCGCCTCCCTGACGGCCGACTGGCAGCAGGCCGAGGAGTCGCTCGCCGCGAAGCGGTACGAGTCGGTGCTCGACATCCTGGCGTCCGATTCGAGCATCCTCTCCGCCTACCTTGCCCTCCTCCTCGACAAGCTCGACGGTGCGCTCCCTCTACCGCCTTTCCCAACCACAACCCCTGTGCTGACCTTTCTTGCTTTTCGGCTTGGCAATGCAGGCCAGCGAGATCAGGTGCTCCATTTGGTTCTGTCTCTGGTTCTCGAGAGTCGCCTGCAGCCCATGTTCGCCGCTGCCGACATCAGAAGCCGACTCCAGCCGCTCGCCTCCGCTCTCCTCCAGGTACGCTGCGCCACGTTCAGAGGGAGTCAAAGAGATCTCACTCACACCACCTTCCTAACCTCCATCGTCCCTGGAGCGAGAGGGCGTCGTTGATGTATGGTCTTACTGATCCCCTTCTTGTTGCCCGCCACAGGGAACGGACACGCTGACACCGGCCCAGCACAAGCTCCAGGTCGAGATGCAGCTGCTCTACGGCTCCTTTTGAAAAGGCTGAGAGTTGAGCGAGGGAAGAGCTGCGCGTGTCTTAGGGAGATTCGAAAACGTTCTTGTGGTTGTCGTATTGGCCCGACCTAACCAACACCGCAATAAATCCAAAGCTTTCCACGTTAAAAGGGACCAATCGGTAAGGGGCGCATCGGGGTTTATTGACGGTGTCATGAGCCGCGTATTGCCTCCGGACCGCCTTTTTGTCCCGCTCGCCGTACCTACCACCTCACGCCATGGCACCGCGCCGCTGCGGCACCACACCTCGACATGGATTAATGGAGTGGACCACCTTGTTCTCCCTCCTCCTTCTCCTCACCCTTGTCGCCTCTCCCGTTTCTTGTTCTACTTCGCCCTCTTCAACCTCAACCTCTTCATCTTCTGTTTCTGCCACAAGGCTTCGAAGCCAACCGGCGCTGTCTTCGTCTCCTCCGTTGGCGGAGCGAGCGAGCTCGAATGTGGCGTGCGTGCCGTACCAGGGCGCGCCGGCCACCGGCGGCAAGTGCGACTACGTCATCCTGCCAGCCGCTTCGCCCTACCCGGCCAACATTCTCCTCCGGTACTACTCCTACCCACCCACCCCACCATCACCCACCGCTATTCTGGACCTTTCTTCTCCTCCTTCGAATCTTCCTTCTCCTCCTCTTTGTGATGGGGGTTCATGGCACACCAGTCGCAGGAGAGGATAGCTATCCTCGTGTGTCAGAGTCCACTATCGCGGAGGTTTCTCCGCCACTCGGGCGCTTTGGCGCAAAATGACTGGCGCCCTTTTGCAAGTGTGCTAAAGCAACTCTCTTCCTCTGGTCTATGATCATAGTAATGCCACCTATGCTGAGCTGGACGAAGAGGTCGGGGCCAAGGTTCGGGACCTCCCTCCTCTCACATGAGAGCAAACGTTTTTTTTTTTAATGAGCCCGAACCCTGTGTAACCGCCCACGCGTGCCGTGCGTGCTTGTGCAGACGGTGCTGATGGGCGCCTTCTTTCCGCCCGAGTGCCGCAACCCGCTGCTGGCGCTCACCTGCATGGGCTCCTTCACCCACTGCCGCTTTTCTACCGTGCCCAGCTTTGATGGTACTGGCGAACCGCCTCGGTGGTTTGCATTGTTGGCATTTTTCACCAATCAAGTGTCACCTTACCTCCGTTCTCGTCGGTACCATCAGTGTATCCACCGTGCAGGTCGGTGTGCGAAGCTGTTCTGTTGGGTTGCACGGCGTTCTTTGAGTCGCAGGGCATGACGGTACGAGCCACGTTCGTCCCTTCGGCCAACGAGTCTGCTGCAACACCAAAAATGCTGTAACCACGGATTTGTTGCTGTTGTGTGCTTCAGAGCCAGCTGCCGGATTGCGACATGACCGACAACAGCACCGGCACGGTCGTGCCCGCCTTTCCTCCCGACGGCACGCAGTGCCTTGCCATGCCCGGCAATCTCTGTACCTTCTTCTCCATGTTTCCATGTTTCCATGTTGTCGATGTTGTCGATGTTGTCGGTGTTAACTGACGGTGGCGAGCGATGGCGTGTCACACAGTCGTGCCGTACAGTCAGGTGGACTGCCCGTATCCGCTCAGGTACAACCGGGACGAGGAGGACTCGTTCGCCGAGTCGGACTACGACGGGCAGGTCATGTGCGTGATGCCCTGTCCCAACCCCATGTGGACCGACAGCGAATGGAACGGCGGCATCGTCGCCATGATGATCGTCTCCGGCATCTCCTTCCTCCTCGCCACCTGCCTCGTACTCTTCCTCCCCCCCCCGCCGCCCCGAATTTCACCTCAAGCCCAACGCCACTTGACGCCCCTCCCCCCCGGATTGCAGGTGGTGACCCTGTGCATGCGCCCCAGCAAGCGCCGCTACCCCGGCATACTCTACATCTACATCGTACCACTTACTACTACGACTACTTCTACTACTTCTACTACTACCCACGCATTGTCCTCAGTACTGATACACGCTTGGCGGTGGGGGGGGGGTTTACAGTCGATCTGCTCGATGGCGGTGGCGTTCATGGTGATCTTCTTTCCCATCATCTCTGGCGGCCCCACGCGCATGGTGTGCACTCGGGTACGGCTGGGTCCACGCTCCCCAGGGCTTGGGTTGGGTTTGCTGCGCTTTTTAGTAAGCTGACATTATAACTCCGAACGTACACACGCCCAGGGCGATCCGCCGGTCGAGGTCACGTTCGACAACGCGCGGGAGCACGACGGAGCGGGAGTGCCGTGCGTGCTGCAGGGCATGGGCATCCTCTACTTTGCCTTGGCCGCCAACTTCTGGTGGCTGGCCCTCTGCATCAATGTCTTCGAGGTATATTTACGCACGCCCACGACGGGCCCTCATGCTTGCCTCTTCTAGACCATCAACTCAACTGGGGGTTATTGTACGCAGATGGTGTTCCTTGGACGCAGCGTGCACGTCGTACGTCAGTGGCACCTCTTCTACCACATCTTCGCCTGGGGCGCGCCTCTCCTCGGCGTCATTATCGTCCTGGCCGGCACCGTACGCCTCACCACGACCACCAGCCACGACCACCAGCCACACCACCAGCCACCACCACCAGCCACCACCACCAGCCACCACCAACACACTGGCCCGACTCGCTTCGGTCTTTCTCACATATGAAACGTTGTGTCGGCTGGTGCGCAGTCATTCGGCGCGCTCCCGGCGGTCCCGTATTGCTTCGTGGCCGGCAACGAGTGGTGGCAGTGGACCATCTTCTACATTCCGGTCGTTTCGTGTCTGATCATCGGCACCATCCTCATCATTGCCTCTGTCATCCGCTTCATCCGGGTACCTCATCTCTCTCGCTTTCGCTTTCGCTTTCTTCGCATTCTGCCAACTCGAGGGGGTCATCGCGTTTAGGTCCGATTCCGCTTCAAGGGCCAGGAGGGCCAAAAGATTGCCCAGGTAACTTGCGCCACGCACTGTCTGCGCTGTGTGCGGCACGGGATTGACAACAACCTCCCTCAACACACGTTCTTCTTCTTCCTCCTCCATTTTTTTATCAACCAGACGGCGCGCTTGCTGCTGCTCATAGTCATGTATTGGTTGCTCCTCCTCTACCCTGTGATCTATCGCATCTACACCCGAGCAAGCGAAGGTACGCACCGCTCGGCTGTGTGACCCGGTTGGAACGAGCCGCAGCCATTGACCCACGAACGCGCAGACGAGATCGCCGACGCTGTCGAGCAGCAAGTGACCTGCAGTGCTAACACGGGGACAGCCTGGTACGCGCCCGCCCGTGCGACCTACATTGGCGCAATCAATCGATCTGTTTGGGAGCTCACCCGGTGCCACGTGATTGCTCACAGTGAGCAAGAGCATCGGCTGAACGTTGGGTCGTGGTTCCTCATGCTCATTGATCTGGGCGCACACGGCTTCGTGGTATTCGTGGGCTGCCTCTCCTGGGTGCGTGCCGTTTACTACAGCCAACTGCACCAACAGCAGAACCCGAAAGCACACACTGTCGCGGTTGTCCGGCCAGCCACTCACCCATCCAACCAACTCGCAGGAGATGATCTACTTCTGGTGGCGCGCCAACAAACTCCTGTACACTCGGCCCTGGCGAGAAGCCATCGCCGAAATCAAGGTACTCCGAACCATGCACTTCCCTCCTTTTGGTGCGCACTCTCACACGATCCGCGCGCGCAGGAATTGATCACGCACGACGAAAGCGCGAGCAGCAGCAGCAGTAGCAGCAGCAAGTTTAGGATGAGGTACGCCGGGTTGGGGTGCATGCCCGGTAACCAACCACGCACAGCAACTTCTTCTCACACCTGCTACGGCTTGGCACAGATCGCAAGTGTCCAAGACTACGACCACGACAAGCAGCACCGACTCGGATGAGGAGATCTAGAGAGATGGGCCAACCCTGCGGGAACCGAAGCGAAGCGAGCAAACGGCAATTATGTGGGTGTGGAGTGTACGAGTTATAAAGGGGGAGGAGAGAGAGAGAAGGAAAGGTCACAGCTCAGACTACATCCGTCTCCTCCTTCTTGTCGAACAGGTCCGGTGAGTGCGGCGAGGGGATGCGATGACGAGTAAGGATCGCCTCTTCGGCCTGCTTCGCCGCGTCGGCCTCGAGAATGATCACCCTGCCAGTGACGTGGCGCAGGGCTGGAGTGTTACAAGTTGCACGCCTGCAGTTGTTGTACGTAGGAGGTGTGCGGGTGCGTACACATGTTCATCAAAATCGAAGCGCAGATAGGGCTGCTTGTTGGCCGCGACCAGCTTCGCAAGTTGCTTGAGGTTTTTGATCTGCAAATAGAATGGGAGTTGGTAGTGTGGTGTGTGGTGTGTGGTGTGTGGTGTGTGGTGTGTGGTGTGTGGTGTGTGGTGTGTGGTGTGTGGTGTGTGGTGTGTGGTGTGTGGTGTGTGGTGTGTGGTGTGTGGTGTGTGGTGTGTGGTGTGTGGTGTGTGTGTGCCGCACCTTCTGGTCGTTGAATCGCAGAAGTTGCAGGTTCGTCATCTGCTGATAGCCGTAGTTGATCTCGTGCACCAGAACCGCGGAGAGGATCACCACCTGCCAGCCGCAGAGATCAGCATCGTCAGTTGCCAGCCGCCCTTGTCCCAATACAGGGTAGCTACGCTGGTATCCAGGAGTCGCACCTCTTGGTCGGGCTCCTCCATGTATTCGGTGAGCGCCTTCATGCACAGCTTTCGCGGGGAGCTGTTGTACCAGTCTTCGCCGTACTGAAAATAGAAGTGAGAGCCCTGAAAAGAACCACAGCCGCCACCACCACAATCACGGGCCGATGCCGAACCTCTTGCAGGTAGGGCTGCGTAAGCGGCGTGAAGACCAGACCGCCGTGGATGAAGAAGCTGTGTGTGTGTGTGTGTGTGTGTGTGTGTGTGTGTGTGAGAAAGGGTCAGAGGCGTCATAAAAGGTGGAGGAGGTTGCGAGATCTGGTACCTTGGCCGCTGATCGAATCTGTGGATGGGCACCAGGGGCTGGACGGGGCTGAGCTGCACGCTGACCTCCTGTTTCTGCATCGGTCGAACCAGGTGATGGTTATCAATCACGACACCATTACAGCAGTGTGAGCGAACGCGAGTGTGGTCGATGACACACCAACCGTCTGTGCGCGAACACCGTACCTCGCCATTGCGCAGGATCTCAAGTCGGCAGTACTCGCCGACCTGCTTCATCGACGTCACGTAGTCGAAGAAAATCCGCTCGCCTGGGTACATGGCACGAACGGTGGAAACCCAGATGTGAGTCCCATAGCAACCGTTGGCCAGCAATTGGCGCTAAAGGAGGCCCTTGGTAAGGGAACGAACGTTTTCGGAAGGCCACGGTGCCGTCGTTGGCGATGCGGTTGCCGTCGATGGAGAGGAGGACGTCGTCCTTCTGCAGGACGCCCTTCGCCTTGGACACCGCCTCCACGTGATTCACCAGCACGCCCGTCTGGTCACCATGGTGCAAAAGGTTGGATTGTGTCTCGTTGCATCTCGTGGTGCGTGTGCGTGTGGTGTGTGGTGTGGTGTGTGTCCCGGTATACTGTACGATGTCGCGCGCCATCTTGTGGAAGTGGCGCAGCTGCGGGTTGTCCATTGGCTGACACTGGATGCCCAGCGCGCCGAATCCCTGATCGCATGTGCACACTGTTAGAGCCAAATGGGGGGGGGGGTAAATGCAATGGAGCAGAACAAACTGCGTCGTTTGGGCGAGTACCGTGTACTTGCCGTGCAGTTCGATGTCCTTGAGGAAGTGCTTGATAATAGGCACGGGGATGATGAAGCCCATGTTCTCGGCGTTCACGAGGCTTTGGAAAGCCACGCCAACGACCTATTCACACAATTAATTGTTAATAGTTGAAGCAAACGTTACACACGGCACCCCGCCAGCGAACAAGAAGGTAAGGCAGTGTGTACCTTGTCATCTTTCAGCACGGGACCTCCGCTGTTGCCCGGGTTGATTGCTGCGTCGATCTGGACGGCGAGTAGGTGTCCCGAAGCTGCGCACACCGCAAAGCGAGGGCCATGAGCCTTGGGCTGAGCCTACGCGGAGGCAGGTGGTCCGGCAGGCACGACGAAGGAATGACGTACCGTGGGCATACCGCTGCGGCTCGATCCGAGACACGACCCCGCGCGTGACGGAGATGGTGTCGCCGCCGGTGGGGTAGCCCACCACCGCGACTGTGTCTTGCAGATGCTGACGCGCCGTGTCGTATCGTATGTTAGCGATTTTCCATAAATATTCTGTGTGTGTTGTGTGTGTGTGTGTGTGTTGTGTTGTGTTGTGTGTGTGTGTTCTCGTACCGGAACATCGCCCAGCTCAAGAGGTGTGATGTCAGTCCAGAAGTCGTCTTCAGTGACCGTGAGGAGAGCCTGCATGATCGTATTAGGAAGCGCGCCAGTTGTAAGCCCCGGCCAGGATGTTCAATACATGTGAAATGCAGGGCTGTTCGCACCAGATCACAGTCGTGAGCAACCGAGAGGACTTTGGCGGGATATTTCTGCGTGCCGCTGAACTTCTTCACTGCGATGTAGGTGTGGTCGGCCACCACCTGCACACACACACACACACACACACGACACACACACACACACACACACACACAGGGCGGCGGTTGGGTCATCAAGTCTGGCGCCGGTCTCGAATAAGGTCAGGTGCACGCACATGCGCGTTGGTGAGGATCCGACGACCGGACAGGGCAAACGCCGAGCCCACCTTCTCCGAGGTAGCCTTCATCTGCCACTGTCGATGTGCGCAGTGGTGGGTGGTGAGGACCACAGACAGCTGAGAGCGATTATGAGGCTGGCGGCGCGTACAGGCATGACGTAGTTGGGGCTGGTCACGTGGCTGTACACCTTGATGACTGGTTCAAGAGGAAGCATGTTGGTACTCTCCTCCCAGTTGGCTTCCTCGATCGGCACCTCCTGCACGTCATCGGGCACGAGTGGAGGCAGGGCGGGGCTTGCTGCCAAGAGGTTTACATTGTTCGAGAGATTAAATCGACAAAATCGCAAAGAATCTCCTGCACAGTACCCTTGCGTGCCTCGACGACGGAGCTGGTGTGGAAGGGACTGGTGCGCTTTCTCGCCAAGGTGAGAACGCCTGGAAATTACAAGATTAGAGATAATCTCATAATGGTGGGCCAAGAATGATTGCCTTGTCGAGCACGGGTACAGCGGGCGGCATTAAATCCGTGTGCACAACGTTGCACTGTGCTAGTGTGCCTCATAAGTTCACCCGTTTGCTGCCATCTGCGCAGCATTGTGCCAATATACCAGGAATAAAGGAAAGGAAAATAGAAAACGTGTTGGCAAACAAATAACAAATGTAAAAAGATGTTGGACGAAGTGGGATTCGAACCCACGCCTGGAGACCCAGACTACGACCTGAACGTAGCGCCTTAGACCAACTCGGCCATCCGTCCGTTGGACGTAAATTTCGCTTCTGGCTGTGGCTTCAAGCAACACATGTCTCTGCCCAAGCAGAAGAATTTACGTGGGTGGAGAGTGAGGAAGGGAAACGCGAGTTAAGAAGGAGCTCGCGGTCAGGGCCTCGGGCACACATCTACGGTGACTGGTCGATGGTCTGTAATCAACTCACCTTCGATCTTGGGATCGATGTTGGTGCCCACCTCATAGCGCACCACGTCCATGATCGAGTGGCGCGCTCCAGGATCGCCTCCGTGCCTTCTCACAAAGATGTGATCGATAGTAATTCCTTTTGTGGTGCCGGTGTGCGTTAGACTGCAAGCGCTCGAGGGCGGCAAAGCCGTTGAGAGCGGCGGCCAAAGTAGGCAGCTGTACGCACCCACAGAGCGCTTGCTCCATCCAGTGAAGGTGCCTGAAGACCGCTTGGCCACCGGGCTAACGTCCAGTGCGTTGTCAAGAACCAAACCTGCTGATCGCCATGGCAGCACACGCGGATAAGCTGCTGGCCGCTCGCTACGTGCAATGAAGGGAAGGGAAAAAAGCGAACCCCAGGTTTGACTATCAGAAAAAGCCTGCAGTGCTTTGTGGCCGGTGTCCACGTTCATGTCGCCCATCACCACCACCCTCGCCGTGGCCAGTTCGTCGTTCTTGACCAAGGTATCGAGCATGTGTGCCATGATTGTCTTCACTCCTTCGATCTAGGCCCAGCAATCAGTTAAAAACGTGCAGCGGAAAGCCTGCTGATCGGGAGAGCAGTTTACCTGAGCCAAGACGCTCTCATGGTCGAGGTGAGTGTTGAAGAAGTAGAGACACGGAGCGCTGGCCTGCTCCTGTCCCACCGCTTCGAAACGACCCCAAGTGCACACTCGGCAGCCTGTGCGCCGATCCATGATGAGAGTCACGGTACGGTCTGGTCGCTGCAATCAGAAGGTGCCCTTAGGTGAGTACAAGCGCTGTTCCAGGACCTGGAGCCAGGCTCACGGGGCGTCTCCGACAGCCAGAATTGCCCGCTGGATCATCGCAAAAAGATAAGAATAGCCGAACGCTGGGCACACGCAAGGAGAAAGAGGACGAGGAGTACCTCTCCACACAACGATACTTGGTGGTGAGGAAGAAGATCGGCGAATACTCCCCCGCCTCGCGCCCGTCGTCCCTTCCCTGCCCCAGACCCGTGTACCTGCAGCGTTGTTTCATCATTGGTTCAGAGTCGCGCTTGAAAGTCTACCGGTAGGGAAGGGGGCAAGGGCGTCACCATGGCAGTCCGGCACGGATGTCTTGCACCTGGTGGTGCAGGGGCTCCTGCACACCGAAGAAATCTACTCTCCGTGGAGAGAACAGAGTTCAGTACAGAGGCCCACGGCGCAGGTGCCTGCGGAGAGGGTTTTCGCGGACCAGGCCTCTGCTCGGCGATGGCGCGGATGAACCCTTCCTTGCGGTTGGCCCACCGGTGTCGTCCGTCTCGTGACGTGTCAAAGCGGCAATTGAACGTCATGAAACGCATGCCCTGCTTCTGCGGCATGGGGCGGACAAGCAGCGCGCTGGACTGCGACACATTCAAAGCACCCTGAGGCAACAAGGATCCAGTGGGAGGGTGGGCGGTGGAGATATGTACGGCCCACACGGCGTGCACTTCGCTCGGCTCGTCGGGCACGGTAAGCTGCCTGTTGGGACCATCCTGCCAGCGGACCACGGCGCCTTCAGTGGCCACGGCAAATTTGAACTCCTGCACAGTTCCTGTGTCGCCCCCAAGTCAGCAACGCGGGGGGGGTTCGGCGGGGGCACTCACCACTAGGCAGGACCACGCTCTTGACCCACACACCATGGCCCACGCAGTCCATCCTGCAGCACAGGCCGCTTAGACGAGCCCTACAAAACCTCGCCGTTGGGGGGGGGGCGCAAACCAGGAGGAAGGGTGGGTGGGCTGCCATTGGGCGAGTACGGCGTGGTCACCCACCAGTGCCAGCCTCTCGCCCGGGCGTGTGTCGCTGTAGTGTATCCTGAGCTCCACCGTCGTCATCCTACTTCCCCCTCTTGATGCTCGTGCTCGTGGTGCTGTACTATTTTCTCTATTTTGTTTGCTGAAAGAGGAACAGCAGAAACGGTTCAGCTGTCGGACCAAGACGTTCATCGCAGGCGCTTGTTCCTTCCGCCACCGCCACGGCTCGCGGTTGGTCCACCTCGGCCCGCAGGAGCGGCCGATGCATCTGCGTGAGTCACAAGTCGAGGATCAGCACGGGGGCACCGAGAAACGTTGGGTGGCTGGATTGGCAGGTACCTGCGGAAGGGCGTTGAACAGGCACGCCGCGCTGGGGTTGAGGCGGTTGTTGGCGTCCACCGCGAGCGTAAGGTGGCCGAGAGGAGGACGAAGAAGTCGAAGATGAGGGAGTTAAGTTGTTGGGCAGGCCTACAAGCTCCAAGAACTCCTCGGTCTGATGACTCACGGCAAACCTGCCGGCCCCTACACCGCGCGGCCATGGAGCAAGAGATGAGCGAGGGCGGCACTGTAGGCCGGACACCACAGAAAGGAGGCTGTACATGTGGGGCGCTCAGTGCGAGGATCGACCGATGAGCGATGCGGCTCGACGGTCATCGCAAAGTTGAGCGGCACAGCGAGGGCGTTCTCTTTGCCGGCAAACCTGGCTGTGAGCTCCTGCAGCTCTTTTTCCACATTGCGGTGTTCACGCTCCGGCCTGCGTTGTGGTGTACTGTGTGAGTGATCATATGTACCCCTACGGTTTCGTGGAATGCATACCCCTTCGGGAGGACCGTGGTGGCCATCGAACAATTGAGGTACTGATGCGTGGCGCGTAGGATGGCCAGCCACTCAAGGTCGTACGTCAACACGCGAGGACCAGTGGCCTCGGGGAAAGATACCACCTGTGCAACACAGAGTCCAAGTCGGGCTTATCAGTACGCACCTGATAAGGGCTGGTGGGAACGATTACATGCTGGGACGGGGTACGTACGTCGAGGAATGGCCGGCGAGGGAGCACCTTGTCGAGAGCAATGAAGTGCGTAGACTGGTCGCCAGTGTGCTGCACCGTGGCATCGAATCGACAGTGCATGTGGCCCGACAGCCAGTAGGAGGGCTTGAGGGACTTGAGGAGTTTCGTGTACAGATGACAACCGAGCTCGCCCTTTTCAATCTCCTCCCTGCGGATCACATTAAGAACTCGATTGGAGAACGCTCTGGCATTTCTTCCTATCAAGCAGATGCATGAAGACGCGGCGTACTTCCAGTGAGGATGGTCAGCACACAGCTTTTCGACATCGCCATACGACGTGACGTCCGGCCAATCGTGTGAAAGTATAACGTCGAGCGGTTTCCGCAGCTGGGGTACGAGGAACGAAACACCGTCAGCACCAAATGCCATCACTTCCCGGATATGGTGTGGCCGCGTACCAGCGAAAGCTTGTAGAGTTCATATTCACGCACGTGGAAGGCTGACCTTACCGTATCCCCCGAATAGGGAGGCACTTCATAATGGCCTACAATCGTGGTCATCAGCGAATGTAAGGTCCCCCTCCTCGCAGCATGAATGGACCTTTGAAGAAGTCATATCGTTTGTAGATCCCAGAGAAGCCGCCAATCCTGAGGCCGCCGTAGTTCACCACTCCGCTATAGCCCAAGAAGTAAATGTTGGGCGCCGCCCAGCCTCCGTAGTACCTGCATTTATAGAGATAAGTGCGCTCATGTCAGCATATCCGTTTGCCTCTGTCGGCCAACAAGGGCACGTACAGCTCCCGCAGGTGGTTGGCGGCCTCGTGGTTGCCGCCCACGAAGATGGTTAGGATGGGTGCCGCCTGCAAGAAGGGTTGTGAGCATGCAGAGATGGGCTCTTCTTCAAGAGCGAGAAGGTGCATTTACCACTTCGCCATTGTAGTACTTGTAGAAGTCTTTGTAGTGATGGTACTTGGATGGACCCGCCAGGCACGACAGATCGAACGCGTTCCTCACCGCCTACACGAATACGCCTGGCGTGAGTGGCAGCACAACAGCCACAGCCATGAAGGTTCCGCCATACCTCAAAGTCGCCGCAGCAAAGAAGAAGCTCGACACGGATACCGCGGCTCCTTTCGATGTTAGCAATGGTTGAGTAGATGGTATCTAGCTCCCCGTGCGTGCAACCCACGAACGCTATCTAAAAGCAATAATCAGAATTAAACGCAATCATGATTAACGATCTTAAGGCGAAATTACGCACATTGATGCCCTTGGTGGCTACGATGTCGATCTCCATGGTACGATTTGTTGTCAGCTGATTTTCCCCTCGAGATGCAGATCGAGTTTTAATCTTGAGGCCAGTTCGTTCACGTAACCACTTCCTCGCATTTTCCTCCCGTAAACGACTTTTGTTTTTTGTTTTTTGTTTGGCGTTTTCTCCCTCGACGCAGTACTACTCCGCGAGCCTGGAGTAGTAACCGTCGACAAGACGCCACTCGACCTCGTTTGCCATGTGGGCCGCAAGGCGCTCTAGCGTGGCGAGCTTCTCCTTCAGCACATGCGTCGGATCCTGGTCTGTGGTATCCGGCCACATGACGTATAAGCTGCCTGGTCAGCCTCCAACGTCGTCACGCCCGTACCTTGGGTGTGGGGAGATCTTGCAACCTTTGCGCTCTGGTCCTGCAGTTCGCGTACCAGCCTGGCCAGTTGAGTTTTCACGTCTGCAGGACATAAAGGGTGAAGGAGACATGAGGAGCCTCGTCCCAAGAAGCATCAAAGCGCACCTTCCGCCAGGACCCTCCTGCGGGATGTGATGTGTTGGTGCCGCCCCCACCAACAGGACATGCTCTCCTTGATGAAGCAAAGCAGCTCTGGATCGGGCCATTTGATCTCCTGGCGTTCGTCCTCACGGTTGACAAACCTCCTTTTAGCGGCTTCTTCATCTGATCCCCTCTTCAATGCCTTCTCCATCTTCCTTCTTTAGAGTTGTTTGTGTAGCGCAGTCTCAAAATGGAAATGGACCGGCACATTCTCGCGCGAAAAGAGCAACTGTGCGCTACCTGCCCTGTTCCATTCCCTCCCGGTTCCGCCTTGGTCACTTCCCGATCTGCAACTTGGCAGACGTAGTTGTGTACTCCTGTTCCCATTTGGAGCGATGACTGGGCACCTATGGAAAAGTTGCAAGGCAAGGAGGGACGGATGGCCGAGTTGGTCTAAGGCGCTACGTTCAGGTCGTAGTCTGGGTCTCCAGGCGTGGGTTCGAATCCCACTTCGTCCAACACCTTTTTCAGCAATCAAGTCGTTTTTTTTGTTTTCATATGGACGTGCGAGAACGGCCGACAGAGACTTTGGACCATGAAGACAACCAAGCAACCTTTTGCAAGGGCTCTATTCCGAAGACACCAGCCAACCAGGCTATTCATACGCCACCGCCCCGCAGTGCTGGCGGGGACGGTATCCCTTCTATCGGTGCACCGCTGCATCCACAGCAGCATCGCCCCCTGCTCTCCACGAGAAAAGGAGATCAAGCACGCCAAGAACCTGCCCGAGGGTGAACAGCCTGCCGCCGGCCACCGCAACCGTGAAGATAAAGGTCTGCCGTTGTCCTTTATTTATTTTTATTTATTTATTTATTTAAATTTATCGTTTTTATTTAACTTTTATTTCTTTAATTGTCGCGTGCGTACAAAGAGGAGACAATTCCGCCACCTCCGTCGACTGGCGAGGAGCAGCCGGTGGACCCGCGCTACCCATTCCTGTTGTGCCATGGCCTGCTGGGGTTCGACACGCTCAAGGTGGTCCCCAGCCTGATCGAGGTGGACTACTGGCGAGGCGGAATCGCGCAGACCTTGCGACGGCGCCGCAGGCCGGAGGAAGGTGCGCAGGGCGGTGTGTTCATATCGCGAGTGCCTTCCACCGGCCACGTGCACGAGCGCGCCCTGTGCATCAAGAAGCAGGTCGCACAGATCCTCGATCCTCCGCTAGCGTCCAAGGTTCCTGGTACTACTGCCGTGTCTCAGCCACTCAATCATTCGGCCTAGGCCTTGACTCACTCTCCGTTCTCCTTCACCCGGCGCACGGCCCAGGTGCTGGATTGGATGAAGGGGACTGGAAGCGAAAGCGACCAGAGAAGGTGAATCTCGTGGGCCACTCGATGGGCGGGATGGATTGTCGATACGCCGTGTCGATGTTGGGCATCGCCGAAGGGTACCTACCGTCCCACCCAACCCAGCTTATGCGGCAGCGGGCATGTGGTTACAAGTCACCTCTTGCGATTGTGTAGGGTGAGCAGTGTGACGACCATCGGCACGCCACACCAGGGCTCCCCAGTTGCCAACTGGGCTAAGGACGTCCTGTTCGACAAGTACCCCACCCACTCCTTCACCCTGTGACTAGTGTCGTTCGATCTCTCATGTTCTGAACGGGCAGGTTGAGGCTGGAGGGATTGTTTCGGTTTCTCTTCAACGACACCGCAGCGATTCACTGTCTGACCACCGACTACCTCAAGGACGAGTTCAACAAGATGGTAAAGGCCCCGAAACAATAGCAACTGACCTCTGTATGACCGTACTCACCTCCGCACACGCACACGCACACGCACACGCACCATTGCACCATCACACCACCGCACACGCACACACCGATGATGCAGGTGGTGGATCAACCGGGGGTCAAGTACTACTCGTTCGGAGGCCACCGAGATCGGGCGCAGATTCCTCTCTTCTGGCACTTCACCTACGACATGATCAGGAAGCTCGAGGGGGAGAACGATGGTCTGGTGTCGGTTAAGTCCTGCGCGTGGGGTGAGTACATTGAAACGCTGGAGGCTGGTACATGCCCCCCCCCATCTCCCTCACCATGCATTGAGTGGGCTTGCATTCCAACGAGGTTCATTCGACACAGACCATCTGGAGATGATCAACTGGCACTGCCGCAAGTACACGGCGCCCTTCACCCGTACACCCTACAAGCCCTTCAACGCCCTCAACTTCTACGACCGCCTCGCCTCCTTCCTCGCCCAACGTGGGCACTGACCAGAGCACCCACTGGCGGCCCACGGATATTTCATTTTGTCGACACAGATCAGCGAAGCAGCCCGCACACGAACGTTGAAAACGAAGAAGAACCACAACACAACACAGCAAACGGCAAATATGTTCAACAAACGGCTCGAGCCGGTAGATGGCGATGGCGGTGGTCGTCCTGGTCTGGTGCGAGCGTCGTCAGCACCGGCGGCAACGACGGCAGGGAGCGAGGGGGCTGAGGTGGTGTCGATAGGTCCGTCGTCTCTCTCGACGTTCACGCAGCAGGTTGCGGGACACAAGGGCGAGGACCAGATGCTGCTGGACGAGAGCGGCCGCAGCATTTTCAAACCCCTTAACAGGCAGGAGGCACGCTTCTACGACCTCCTCAAAACCCATCTCACCTCTCCATCCTTTCCGGCCCACTTCTTTCCTGGATTTCTTGGCACTACCAACCACAACGGCAGAGGTGCCTCACACCCCCACGATATGATTTTATTGTTTATTCGAATCATTATTTATTTTTAATTGCACTTATACAACATATTTATGTGTAGAATATATACAACTGGAGAACTTGACGTATGGCATGAAGCAGCCCTGCGTATGTGACCTCAAGATGGGCGGCAACTCCAAGGGTGCGTTCGAAGCTTTCTTTGTCGTTTCCCCCTGGGCGCCCAGGGCCATGATCGCATGATCGGCTCACCCGTGCATTTTGTGGGTTGGGCTGCAACCAGGAACGAACGCAGAGGCGGGGATCGTGAAGGGGTTCAAGCAAAACGTGGTGAAGAGCATCACCACGTCGCGCACCCTCGGGTTCCGCATCGTGGGCCTCCGCTCCTACCAGGTCGACACAGCGACCTACATCTCCAAGTCTATGCTCTACGGTACTGCACGCGCGGCACCTCTACGCCGGCTTTTTTGATCATCAGACGCTCACCCTGCAATACAAATGCAACATGACTAGGAACTACGCTCAGGGCCAACACGATGATTGATGGCTGTCCCTCTACCTTGACAACGGCCGGGAGATCAGAAGCGACGCCATCCCGGTCATGCTGAAGAAGATTGGTCCGCGATTCACAGCTGCTTTCATCTGATGGCGACCAGGCATGATGACAAAAACGCGCTTGTCGTGTTCATCGTGCAGATGAAATTATCCGGTGGATTGAGGTACAGGACCACTTCATCTTCCGGTCGTCGTCCATCCTGCTCTTGTACGACGGCGACAACGACAACGGCGAAGGAGGAATGGTCGATGTCAAGATGATTGACTTCGCACACTCGTATGCCCAAGGTTCGCTGCGCTTTGCCTTCACCTCTACCCGCGGGGTCATCGCCAACACAACTACAGCTTTGTTCTAATTCTCATTCTTCGCTTTCATGTCGTGCTTGACCCTGTAGAGGAGAAGGGGAAGATCGATGAGGAGTACTTGCACGGCATGCGGCACCTGCGCCGCATACTGGAGGATCTCTACAAGCGGGAGAGTCTCGTGGGTGGATCCACCGCCGGCGGTCTGGTAGCCACCACCCTCGAACGCCGACGCGGTCGACGACGACAAAGCCCACGCGGCGACAACAGCCACCAAGACCTGCTGCGCGACCTAGAGTCTTCTCTGGCAGCGGACGGCGAGGCCGAGCCGGACCCGGGCGAGGCCGATCCGGAGGTGGTCTCCCCTCGACAGGGGCTCGTCGACTGCGTCGCCTCCGGCAGTTTCACGCCACGTGGCTCATCGCCGCGCACCCGCTCGCCTTCGCCCACTTCTTCTTTCGCTTCGTTATCCCTTGACGGAAGCGAACAGTCTGCAGCTTAATAGACGCTGGCCACCAGCTCGTGGGTGAGAGCACCGCAGATACACGTACGGTACCATTGGTGGTCGCGGAGCAGGGGGGGTCCCAACTTTGGCGAACAGAAGGTGGCGAAGGTGGGAATCGAACAGGGCAGATTGGAATGGGCCACGCATTCGTGTCGACTGCCGGTCTGGTTTCGCTCCATTTCGGGGGAGTTCCACGCCCTCTGGACCCTGTGCAACCCGGCCCTTTCCTCCTGTTCTCCCTCTCGACCGCAACGACGCACAGTCTCACCCACGACGAAGTTGTCCCATTCTTACAACGGATCCTCAACCTAGAACGTGTAGGTAGCGTGAGTCAACATGAAGGCGGCTGTAGGACGCAGTGGCGGTGTGGTATCAATGCGCTGCACGGCGAGGGGGTCCCCTTGGACAGCACTCCCACTGGCCTCGACGGCGGCACTCGTGGGCGCCCAGGTGCGGGCGAAGCACTACATCAGCTACCGGCTCGAGGGGGAGGACGATCCCTACCGCCACCTGCGTAGATGCAAGAGCCCGTCGAAGAAGAAGCAGTCGAGGCAGCAACCACAACACGACGAGGAGCTCTTGATGGGCGAGGCCAAGGAGGAGGCTTCGTCTTCATCGCTTGCCTCCTTCCTGTTTGGCCCAACCACGCAGCACGACGAAGAGGTGAACCGGAGTCCTGTGGAAGCGGCGACGAGCCAACGTGACGCGGAAGTGGCGTCGGGGCTGGGGGCGGGCGGAGGGGTGGTTCATCGAAGCAAGGGGGCCATGCCCTCCAGGCGACCGAGCGTCGAGGGCGGAGTTGGCGGCCAACTGACGGGAGGGGCGGCTGGACAAGGGCCACAACCCCAAACGCCGCGTGAACGAGGCGGAGGAGGAGAGGACCGAGGCAGCGCGGAGAGCAGGGCCATGATGGCTGATCGGCCGCGAGTCGAAGGGGAAGACCATGAGCCGGTGTTCTGGGTACCACAAGCGGTACCGCACCATGCCTGCCACAATCGGTTTCTCGTTCCCAGGTCATGACTGACGTGCCCCGTGCAATGCTCTTGCATCGACAGGTGAAGGAGACCGGCAAGAAGGTGCTCGAGAGGGTGGGTGGTGCTGCGGCGAGCGTTGGCCACACGGCCAAGCAGGTAGGCGTTCACTCCCCCACCTTCCTGCAGCCAAGCTCGTTCCTAACTTGCGCGCCTTTTGACGAAAGTTGTGGGTCGGCGCGCTGAAGAGGGTCAGCGCTCAGCCTGATCACCACCATGGACTGGTAGACAAGGCCAAAGATGTGGGCAAGGTGCGGGATTGGAGAATAATCTGTGGGTTGTGATTGTGCTGGCGCCTGACATTCCCCGATCTCAACAGGGCACCGTCCACGTCGTTGATACCGGGTACGAGAAGACCATCGAGAAAGCAGCCGACAAGATGCTGGAGGCTTTGGACGCGTCTCTAAAAAGGTGCGAACCACACGGCTGTGGGTTGTCTCTTGCATTCACTGAGGAAAAGTTGATGTGTGATCAGCGCCAAGGCCAGAGGCTTTCCGCCGGGGCTCACGGTGACCACCATCGCGTCGGTGATGGGTGCGCAGCTAATGATGGCCTACACAACCAAGGAGGAGGACGTCAAGACAGAGTCCGGACGCAAGGATGCGAACATCACTCGACCGAAGCAACAGTCCCGCAAAACCGCACAGCCGCGACAGCGTAAGGAGAGCGAAAAGAGCAAGAAGGGGTCTGGCCACCTCGCTCAAGAGCAGAGATAAGACAGTGGTAGTAGCCCCTGTGTACAGAGAGTGTAAATGTAAGTAAAAAGTACGACTTGAATGATGAAAAGGTGTTGGACGAAGTGGGATTCGAACCCACGCCTGGAGACCCAGACTACGACCTGAACGTAGCGCCTTAGACCAACTCGGCCATCCGTCCTCCGTTGCCTCTCAACAGCACAGCAGGTGCCACGTTATCCGATTGGGGCCAAAAGTTCGACCAACGAATTCTGGTGTGCGAGTATTTGTTCGGTTGTTGTGGTGCGCTCTGTCGAGGAACTTGGAGAAAGCCCCACAGCTGGGCTCTTTGGGTTGATATGGAGCCGCCGGAGGCAGCGGGCGGCGAAGCCAGCGTTGCTGCCCGAAGATGGATACGAGAAGGACTCCGCGAAGACGGGTGCCTCTACCTTCAGGTGCCCCCCCTCCCAACACTCGCCCTTTCGTTTTTCACCCCCCCCGCAACGGGCCTCAACCTTCGCTTTTCCTCTCTTCGTCTTCGTTCTTTCTCCTCCCGCAGAGCAAAGACTTGAGCAGTGCTGACGTGACGGCGATAGTGGACGAGCTGCTCCGGAGCATGGCCCGGTCAACCTCCGGAGCCTCGCCGCTCGCCTCGACGTCGTCGCGCTCGGGCCTCCGGCTCACCCAGCTCACCCTCTCCTACAACGGCCGCGTGGGCGACGAGGGCGCACGCCACATCGCTCGCCTGCTGCGCCTCACCCCCTCCCTCACCTCCCTCTACGTCGCCTGGGTATTCCATTCCTCTTTCTTTCTTTCCCCCGCGTGCGGTGCGTGCGGTGGTGCTGACTCTGGGCATTGCCACACGGTGCGCACAGTGCGGCATTGGGCCGAATGGGGTGAAGGTGCTGACGTCGGCCGCGCGGTCGCTGACGAGCCTCTACCTGGGCTTCAACGGCAAGGTCGGGAACGAGGGCGCTCGCCACCTGGCGGACCTCATCGCCACCAACACCCCGCTCCAGCACATCGGGGCCGGTCAGGTACCAGGAGCCCCCCGAGTTCCTTGTTTCACAACCCACCTTGGCCTCGTAGTGCTGAGAGAGCCTTTGTCCCTTGTCCCGCCCAGTGTAACATAGGAGACGAGGGGCTGATGTGCATCGCGCGGGCACTCGCCAACAACTCCAACCTGCGCACCATCTTCTTCAGTGACGCAACGGTACAGTGATGCAACTCGAGTTTGCTCCTCCGCAGAGAGTGATACCACAACAGTAGTGGTGTGGAGGGACTAAACGCGGCGCGTGTGCGGGCTCAGATCACGCCGGGCGGGGCGCGGGCGGCGATAGAAGAGATCATCGCGGGGTCCAACAGTTTGCTGGAGGGCTTGTCGTTCGGGGGCATGGCGCCCTACCTGGAGGTCGAAGCCCTATGGATCGAGCTGCGCAACCGCAAGCGCGAGCAGCAGCGCAAAGGTACCCTCGCCCCTGCCCTCGCTCTGCTTCGTTTCACCGTTCGTCTAACGTCCGGAAAGAACTCGAAGGGTCGTAGGGCGTAGGGTGTTGGGTGTTGGTGTAACGGAGCTAAACCCACGGACGGCGTACGGCGGTCGCATATGCGATGGTACCATCAACTTAGTAGTTTTGGCTCAGAGAAAGCGCACACCCCACACGCGAACGTTATTTATTCTCTCTTCGCCCCTTCAGTCTCTTTCTTCTGCGCCTTCTTGCTCCTCTTCTTCCCCTAGTGCCTCATCTTCGCCATCTCGCTCTTGCGGGGCGGGATGCGGCGGGTGTTGCGCCCTGGCGGCCCTCCTGGTGACCAGGCTGAACCGCACGCGTGAGTGTGCAGGCAGCGCGGCACGCAGCTGGGCCACGCCGTCGTCTGTGATGAGCGAGCACTGCGTGATGACCAGCGTCTTGATTTGCTGCAGGCGGCCCAGGTGTAGCAATCCATCGTCGGTGATGCGCTGCAGCTGCGACAGCGTGATGAATTCGATCAGCGGGCAGTTCTCGCCCACGGCCATCAGAGATTCGTCTGGTGTTTGCGCACCCGCAGCAAAGTGAGCATCCAGAGACACGGTCGTGCGTGCGTGCGTGCATGCGTGCGCCGCACCGGTGAGAAAGCCGAGGCCGGCGAGTTGCATCTCCTTTATGTCGGAACAGTTGCGCGCCACGGTGACAACCGAATCGTCGGTGAGCTTGAGACAGCCGCTCAGCACCACCTTCCTGTTCACCGGTGACAATTCGTGAGCCGAGACGGGAACAAGTACAAGCGCGCCAGTTGTACCGCAAGCCAGGGCAGTTGGAACCGATGGTGGTGATGACCGTGTCCGTCAGCTTCTTGCACGACGCCACGTTGAGGATCTCCAGCCGCGGGCAGTTCCGTGCCACAGGCATCAAACTGGCAGCCTGCGCAGTAGCCACACACACACACCACACACCACACGGGACGCACGTCAGACAAATACGAAGCGGTGAGAGTGCGGCGTTGAGTTGGGCTGTGTGTGTGTGGTAGCGGGAGAAAGGTGAATGCGCGCGTACGGGGATGGCGCGCCAGTTGGTGTAGGAGATGTCGAGTATTCGCAGCCTTGTGCACACTTCACCGATTTGTATCAGGTGCGGTCCCGCCACATGTCGATTCTCTGATCTGCGCGTTCACCACATGAGTGTGAGTGTGCGTGTGCGTGTGCGTGCGTGCGTGGTTTGCGCGCAAAAATGGAGGTCGTGCTGACTACATACAAGTCCAGCACCTCGAGTGCTGTGTGGTGCGTCAAGAACTCGATGCCGCTGGCGTGAGGCGACCGACCAAGCGCCAGCTTCCGCAGGTTTCTATGGCACCCCATGCGCCGGGGAAACGGGTTAGGCGTGGATGCAAGTGTCTTCCCGAAAACCAGGTTGAACACCGTACGTAAGTTGCGTGGTTGCCTTGAGAACACTGTCACCACGCAGCTGCGGCAACGCCATCAGCCCGAGCTCCCTACGTGGCAAACAAGTCACAATCAGCAACGTTCTCGATACACAAGACACGCACGACACACAGGACCAGAGTGCGCACCTGAGGTGAGGGCAGTTGGAGCAAACAGCCACGATCCCCGCGTCCGTATGAAGTGGACACCGCTCCAGATCGATCATCTGCTCTAGGATCTAGACTGAGTACTTGGGGGGGGGATGAGAGGAGAGAAGACGAACCCGAAGCTCAGGCAGGGAGGTGGACACGGACTGCAGCGAGGCGTCGGTAATGCGCTCACAGGCCGCCAGCTGCAATGTACGTAGGCCAGGGCACGTCTCACTGCGAGACCGCGATCACCCTGGCGTGTAAGCAGAGCACGCCGCCCAACACGCCGCACGCCTGTCGCATGGGACACCACCGCACGCGCACGACACACAGCGCAAGGCCTCCGGGCCGGGAGTGGAGTACCAAATGGCGGCGACCCCGACATCCGTCACATTCGTGCACTCCTGCATCATCGCACGAAGAAGACATAACGGTCTCGGTGAGCGCGTCGCTGAGGGAATTTACAGAGAAAGAAGGTGTGTGTGCGCGGCCGTAGGTACAAACAAGCTGAGATGAAGCAGGCGCAAGCACAGTCGGCTGACCGTCAGCACGGTGCGGTCGGTGATGGACCTGCACGTCGACAACCCGACGAATCCTGTCAGGCCCCACGATGATGGAGGTGAGGTACGTGTACAGTCTGACGACAGAAGAGTGCAGAAGAGAGCAGCAGGCAAGTGCGAATGATACTGGTGTGGGTCAAGCGTGAGGGGTAGCGGAAGAGGCCCTCGAGTGAATCGTCATCCACGCGCTGTCGGTGGTGGTACACATCCAGCTGCTTCCACCCAGGCAGCATTCCGTCCTGTACCACGCACGTATCCCACCACCACCAGCACCGTCAACGCAACCGCTACTGCGCTGAACTGGGCCATAGCAGGCAAGCAAGGAGCAACAGCACGAACCAGAGAGTACCCGTGCCAGTGCTTGGACACCATAGACAGCACGCACAGCTCCTGCATGGCATCGCACCATCGAGAGCAGTCACGGTTACAAATAATTTGGGGGGGGGCTAGCAACGGGGTGTACGCGATAGTTGAAGTGCCGGAAGACGAGATGCCTCACCTCGGCCGGCAACCCGTCAAAGTCAGACGCTCCCGCCTTGTGGGTGAGCGCCTCCATGTCTCGGTTGCCTTTTCGAACTATTTCGGAAAGTTGTTGTTTTTTTGAGACGATTTTTGAAACGATTTCATGGAAGATAAGAAGAAGATTTTGCAGTGCGGTCACCAATGGGCGCAACGCCAAGTGGTAATTGGTGGCTCTGCAATAGGCGCTGCAAAATAGCAACGTTTTGCCATGCAGCACTTTGGCCAACTTGGTTACCCCCCACCCAGTGTCCCTCCTTCTCTACTGGCAACAGTAGTTGAGGGACAGGCATAACCCATTCTTCCTCATCTGACACCAACACCACCAACACCAACCACTATGGGCCTTACTTCTTCCAAGCCTCCTCCTTTCACCATACCAGTACAAGCCAATAAGTTTGGAAGCATGAAGGAACCTGCACCACACTTACACTCTTCCCACCCCTGACTCAGGTGGCCAAGATAGGAGAGTACAAGGTGGTGAAGCCTATGGGGTAGGGAGCATTCAGGCAGGTGATCATGTAGAAAATGCAAGCAGACAAGAGTTCACCCTGAAACAAATCAACTGTGGCTCCCTTGATAGCACCCCCCAAGCCCTGATGGAGGTATGCTCTTGCTCTCCACCGCACTTCATTATGGCTGACTTGATGTTCTTCTCATGCTTCAGGCCACCTTGCTGAAGCAACTGAGCCACCCAGCCATTGTCAAGTTCTACAAAATCAAAACCTATGAGCACCAGGGTCGCTCCACCACCATTATTGTGATGGAGCTCATCAAAGGCATCAGCCTGGAAACCTTTCTGCAACATGCCCCTCAGTCAACTTGCAGGTGCAGCCCTAGTAATTTTTCCTACTTTTGTTCTTGTTGCATGGGAGGTGAACCAATTTTACTTCTGTCCCCCCCCCTCCAGCTTGTCATGACATGGTTCATCATGTTGCTGGAAGGTCTACAGTACATGCACTCCAAGAAGATTGTGCACTGTGACCTGAAGCCCACCAACATCATAATAACCAAAGATGGTGGCCTCAAGATTAGTATGAGCTCCACACACCAGCACTGGTCTGCCAATTGGTTGCTGGCTAAAGACTAAATTGTCAACTCCATGGCTGCAGTGGACTTGGGCATCTCACAATTCATGACCCAGGACTACCTCCACACAACTTGCAGGTGAGACCACCACACCTATAAAATTTCTGTGGCTCACACTTTTGTGTGATCAGGAACACCCAAGTACATGGCGCCAGAGATGCTCACCCAACAATGTACTCACGCCATCCCTGGCCCAGGCCTGATCAACAGTGAGTTGTGTGCTTACTCTAGGGGCAAGGTATGATGTGAGGGTGGGTGTTAGGAATGAAATTGTACCTCAAGGGAGCAACAAAGCAACAACAAAGCAACAACAAAGCAACAACAAAGCAGCAACAAAGCAGCAACAAAGCAACAACAAAGCAACAACAAAGCAACAACAAAGCAACAACAAAGCAGCTCAACTTCTTGTTTGGCAATGGCCTTTTGCACCACTGTGATACATTGGGTTAGTCTGTGGGCCACTGGGTGCCAGAGAAGAAATCAAGGCACCTCCTATCTAACATGGAGAATGATCATCTAAGCACTGCTGTTGGGGTGTTCAACTCATGCAGGAGGGGTTATCACAGTGATGATGGCAAAGTGTACACCAACAGCAAGGAAATGTTTGGTCCACCTTATTCCATCAGCAACACCAATGGGTGCAGGATCACACACAGCAGCTCAGTGTACTACACCATCAACAGCTTCTATCTTGGTACCCTTTCCCTCAGGTCTCATAGCTGGCCAGCTGGCTTACAACAGTCCATTGCTTTGCAGGGGTGGCCTTCAATATGGTGCTTGTCACTATGAGAAGAAATCCACAACTCAATGCAACACCTTCTTCATTCCGCCCAGATCCTTGCTGGCTTGTATGAGGGGGTGCCACTTCAACTTAGTACATGATTCATGTGCCTCATGTAAGTTGTGGTGCCACCAAACTCTAATCAGTGTGTGAACAGACCCACACACATTGTCATTGTTGATGCTGGGAACCAACGGAGCCAGCAAGTATACACCCCTGTTGCTTCAAGTATTCACCCAGGTGGTCCCATGACTTGCAAGTGCACATCCTGTTCGCTCTGCCTCAGAGCTGCATGTCCCTCCACACCACAAGCTTCATTCAGGATGCGCTTATCTAATGAGGAACCTTTCAATAGATCCTGAGGAGGCCAAGGAGTTGCTTGACACTCACGCGGCTCATCTCAACCATTCAGCTTCCGGTACGGTGAAGAGGCTTGTGTATCTTATCAAAGGTATCGCCCAGAGCCCGCCATCAGCCGCGACCAGCAACGATTTAAGTGATCTGTTGCTGTCGTCGAACAGAGAACAGGGCCAGCGCGTTGGTGTTTGATGTCGCACCAGCACAAGCTGCTGAGCAATTGCCCGCTTCTTCTGCATCGGCCACACTCAGCCCAGGCCCCCGCCCACGGGCTCCTTCTCTGGGCACGCATCGCGACGCCCCAACCACCCCCACTACGCCCATCCCAACGGCCCTGCCAACTACCCCGCCGCAAGCACAGGATCACGGCATCATCGCCCCTAAACCAACCATTAGGTCAGGACCGGGCTGGCCACTCATGTCAGCCATCCAACGACTCGAATCAAACGGGCCGGAAGAGCCTGCCGCGCTCCCGCAAGAGCCAGCGTTCAGCAGGGAGGACCTGCAGTCGGCAGTGGCAGCGCATCTACGCGACTCGGGGCGGCTGGCGTCCATCATCGCCAACTCGACGACATCGCGTTCCGTGTCGCAGTCGCAGGTGATGACGACCATGTCGAAACGGTTGGTTCCGGTCACAGGCTGGACCGCGGCAAACCCGGAGGATCGTAGGGAGCTGGTGCTGGAGGACCGCACCATGCAAGCGCTCCAGGACGAGTTCGCGATCGTTTTCGAGGACTTGTTGACGGACTCCAAGACCGTTAAGGTGCGATGCTAGTGTCACACCACTTCCGGTCACTCTCCATTCACCCTAGGTCCTCCTTCTCCGCCTACAGGTCGTAGAAAAGGTCACCGCCAAGGGACGCACTAAGATTGCCAACGACAGAAGCGTGGCGGTACTGCAAAGCGGCGACGAGCTGTGCTTCCACCTTGCCTAGAGATTTCCGGTGCCACAGCGACAGACCCCCATTGCGTAAGTCGGACTAACGACCAGAATGACAATAAACTTTTAATCGGCCTCAGTGCACGAGCGCCTACGGCGAGCACCTTTGGCGGCGTGGCGGGCTCACTGCAGGTCGTGTATATTTACCAACTTTTATCGCTTGGGTGAAGAAACCTACCACGCCTTCCTTTGCCGCGCGCATGGCTTATTTTGCGTCGTAGTGCTGGGCGTGACGTGTCAACTGCCCCAGTTTGGGTCGCCGGGAGCGTTCAGTGCAGTTGGAAAAGGCAACCAGAACGCGAATCAGGGGGGTAGAGGGGGGGGGGGCAGCATGGGCATAACCCCAAACCGAGAGAGTCAAACCTCAACAGAAGAAGATGGTGGACAAAAAAGTAAAGATTGGGGCGGCGGCGCTGGTGATCTTTGTGTTCCTGGCCTGCGCGCTTACGCTTACAGTCGTACTGAGCGTCGTGCTGACCCGAGACTCGTCTTCATCTTCTTCGGGCTCGACCACCACCTATACGGCGACCGCGTCCGCGGGCGACTTTGTCACCATCACCGTCAACCGCGCCTCGCGCTACATCGACTACTCCAACTCGAAGAGCGGCCGAGCCGGCCGGTTCACCTACACGGTCAACGCTGACGGCAGCTACGACATCAACGACGCCGACGGGGACCTTGTGCGCGCCGTCGAGCTGCCCAACTATGGCATCCTCCTCCAGATCAACAAGGGCGGCGCGACCGCCAACGTCAAGTGCCTCGTGACCGGCATGACCAAGTCCACCATCTCGCGAGCGAGCCTTCAGGGCAAGGCCTACAACTTCTTCCAGTTCCGCACCACTTCGGGCGGGCTCGAGGTGGGCAGCATCGTGTTCGGGGCCACCGGCCAGCAGCTGTCTCACTCCTCGTGGTGGCCCTACGGGGCCTTCAACGGCGAGACCGGCTTCAACGAGGCCTCCGACCTCAGCCTGACCAATGCCACCTTCGCCGCCGACGGCAGCTACATGCACGTCTTGCTCGAGGATGAGAACCTCTACATTTTTGCCAGCGGGACACGGCTGGCGATCGATCTGCCAGCCGGCTCGCTGATGGCCATGCGCGAGTCGTCCAGCGCGAGCTTCGACACCACGTCCTTCCCGGGCACCTACACGACCCTGATCTACAGGAAGACCAACGCCCACTCTCAGCCGGGCAACACCGAGAGCGGCGACATCGTGTTGGACAAGGCCCAGGTGGAGGTGACGGCTGCGGCCGGCGTGACGGTCACGTCGCTCACCACGTCGACGGTACTGTTCACGGGCACGCTGAGCGCCCTGTCGTCGGACTCCTCTGTATTTGGACCCGGCAAGCTGACGGCCGAGTGCCGCGGCGTGTTCATCGCGCGAAGCGGCGACACGGCCTTCGTGATGTCCTTCACCGACCGGAGCGTCTACATGAGCAGCTTCACCCCGCTCGAGGACAGCGCCTACAACTACTTCAACGGTGCTGGCATCATCATCTAAACAAATAAACCCTCTTCAGCGCGTGTCCTCTGATTCTCTCTTCCTTGTCCCACAATTTAGTGGAGAGGGTCGGAGGTTCAAGAAGACGGTGCCGAGGAAGAAGAAGGTTTCTTATATATAACCGACCCCATCGGATTACACTCCCCTCCTGAACAACAAGATCGGGAACGCGAGCTGACGACCGATGGTAGAAGACGCCAAAGGCCCGTTTTTCCCCAGAGCCGAAAGCTCACCTTTCCTTTTGGCTGTGGCGACGAACTGGCCACATCCCCCCAAAAGCTTGCTTCACACTCCAAGAAGGACAACGAGAGCATCATCAATCACGACTTGTGGGACAACAACTCGACTTGCCTTGGTTGGTTCCATCATGCACGCCGCATCAAAGATGGCGGTTACATGACGAAAGGAAGGGGGAAGAGGAGAGAATAAATAGTGTGGTGAATGACTGGGTGTCACCTGTGCGGGGGCGTCTAGAGCCGAACTGCGCTCTCCAGCATCTGGATGGTACCAGAAGCAGAGTCAATCTCCACCTCGAGCCCGATCGGAAGCGTGTACTGGGCATCGAGATCATGGCCTGTAATAAGGTGGTGAAGAAGACGTCAGGTCCGATGAGAGCGAACGTTCACACGTTCCCGCCACACGACATACCAAACATAGCGCCGGTGAAGGCGGGAATGCCCAGAGGCTTGATCTTCTGGTCGATGATGAGGTCCAGCGGGAGGGTGCGGTTCTTGTTCGAGGCCTCGCAGTTCGTACACCTGTGCGGGATGGACAGATCAGTACACCCCCCCTCTGCATTTCACCGAGCCCCATGGCCGAGCGCACCTTCCGAACACGAAGCCGGAGATGACCTTGAGGTAGCCCGCCAGCT